ATGCCATTTTCAAGTTCTTGTTCTACTTTGAAGCCTAAGCGTGAAGAGTTTGAAGAGATTCCAACTTCGTTATAGTCAGCGCCATCATCCAGATAGTCTAAAGAAACATGCGCACGGCCATAAATTTTTACGTCAGCAGCCATCGCTAAAGCTGGTGTAAGTAAAGTTGCCCCAACTGCTAATGCGCAAAGTGTTTTTTTCATGTGTAGCTCCAAGAAAGACTTTTTGTTGATTCGTCTATAAAAGGTTATTCAGTCGTCTTTTTATTCATCAGACTTCTGTCTCTTGGCGCTCATTATTGATTACAAATAAGTCATTAATATTAAGGGAATATTACAAAAATATTAAACAACTCAATGTCAAATGCATTTCCGCGATAAATTGTTAAGCTTGATTTTGAGAACTTAGATTATTGATCTTATTTATTTTTAGACCTAAAAAAAGGAGCCGAAGCTCCTTGATTGAATAGTTGGAATTACAAAGCAGCGCGAATTTTTTCTGCTTGTGCTTTGATTTTTTCTTGATCACCCATTTGTAATGCATGCTTACCTAGCTCATGTACCGAACTCGGAATGAGGTGGAAATGTACATGGGGAACGGTTTGCCCAGCAGCAGCTCCAGACAGTTGCATGAGGACAATGCCTTGGGCATCCAAACCGACTTCAATGGCTTTTGCTACTTTTTGTACCACTTGAATGGTGTAGGCAGCAGCATCGGCAGGGAGGTCGAGTAAAGTCACCGCAGGTGTTTTGGGTATGACTAAAGTATGACCGTCTGCTTGAGGCATAATATCCATGAATGCAAGAACTTGGTCATCTTCATATACTTTAATGGCTGGAAGTTCACCACGTAAAATTCGTGCAAAAATGTTTTGCTCATCGTAAGCCATGTCTATTCCTTAAGTTTCGCTTAAACTGATTTACTTACAGTTTAATTCTTTTTGACGTTCTTTAATGGCGTCAAGACGTTGTTGCTCTTTTTCAGAGAATTTCGGTTTAGTGGTGTAGCAATTATCATTGCCAAATTTTGCTTTCGCTTCAGGGTCCTTAAAACAGAAACCTTTAGATGCATAAATGACATCATGATCATCTTTTAATTTTTGACACTCTTGCTCAGGTGATGCCGCAAAACTTTGCGCCCCGATTAATGTTGCAAGACTGGCAAAAACCGCTACAGTCAACTTTTTCATGAGAATTTCCTCAGTTTGTAACATTGTATGTAGTCACGCTATTACTTTATAGGGGTTTGTTCTGTTTATTCAATGGTGAGTTCTTACTCAATTGTAATTTTACTTCATAATTGCTGCATATAATACATAAAATTTATATATATCAAGAGCTTTTAAAATAGCAGATAGAAATGGATATTTCAGTTTTTTATGTAATTTAGCCTATTTTTACAACTTTTCTTAGGCTCTAACGTTTTAAATTTCATTGAGAGGGTAAAAGGCAGACTTAAAAAGTCAGATACGCTAAAATATTGCCATTGAATAGATTGATGATGATTTGGGCTGAGATCCTGCCCAATGCACAATGCAGTTGAAATAGGCTGTTCTTGAGATAAATCGTCTAGCATAGAAGTAATGACGTTCAGTTCAGCCATAACCGCATCCTTAATATTGAGTGAGTAATTCTGTATGGAACTTCAAGGCATTTGCCATAAAATGCATGCAGGTCTTAAGGACCTTAGTGTAACTGATCAACATACACACAAGGCAAATGTTGAATATAAATTTATCCTAGAACGTGCAGAAGAAGTTGTGGCAAAAATTAAAGCAGGAACAAGCTTTGCAGCAGCTGCGGCTCAATACTCTGAAGATACTGCATCTAAAGCGAATGGTGGTGCTTTAGCAGTTTATAACAAAGGCACTTTTGGTGATGCTTTTGACCAAGCTGTAGCATCGCTTAAATCAGGTCAAGTGTCAGCGCCTGTAAAAACTGAATTTGGTTACCATGTCATTGAAACTGATGCGCCAGCTGTGAAGTTGCCATCTTTTGAAAATGAAAAAGCACGTTTGACTGCGGAAGTTCAAAAGAATAAAACAGCCAATGCATTCTCTGATACTGTAAACAGTTTAAATGAACTGGTTGTAGACTCAGATGCTTTAGACGTGGTGTCTCAAGAAGTTAAAGGTGTACAAGTTCAAACTGTGAAAGGCATGACCTTATCTACACAGCATCCTGTATTAAGTAATGCTGCGGTGAAAGTGAAACTGTTTAATGATGACGTTAAAAACGGTGATCGTAACGCGACCAGCAGCATTCAACTTCCAAATGGGGATGTGGTTTGGGCAAAAGTACGTGATTATCATGCGGCAGGTGTCCAAACGCTTCAAGAAGCAACACCACGTGTGAAAGCAAAATTGGTTGAACAAAAAGCTTATGATGCTGCTAAAGCTAAAATTGCTCAAAGTTTAAAAGACTTTAAAACTCAACCAGCAGCATCAGTTGTTGCCAAGAGCGGTTTGACCTTTACTGCACCGCAAGTGTTTATTCGTTCACAAGGCTTACCACGTGCAGTTGAGCGTGCGGCGTTTAGCCAAGCGGCACCAAAAGCAGGACAGTGGTCTGTAACAACAGCATTATTGCCAACAGAAATGGTGGTGGTCGCAGTATCAAATGTAAACAAGACGACGTCTAGTGCGTTGACGGATGAGCAGTTGGCTGAGCTTTCGAAGTTATATCAACAACTTCGTGGTCAGCAAGAAGCTGAAGATTATGTGCAATACTTAAAAGCACATGCGAAAATTAAATAATCGCATGCTATAAAAAAACCTGCATTCGTGCAGGTTTTTTTATGTGTGTAGATAAACAAATTTTATTTAAGGATAAACAAGCCTAGGCACGAATTTTGAGCTCATAACCTGAATATTTACGAATATTAATCACGCCTGTATCTAAAATCAGATACTGACCTTTAATTCCTTGTAACTTGCCGCGAATCACGGGAGTTTTATCCAGATTGTGGGATTTAATCTTCTCAGGATATTGCTCAACTGGATAAACAAACTCGCGTGGCAGTTCAGTATCCAAAAGCTCAACTGTTTCATTGAACTCAAGGTTTTGACTAAATTCCTCACGAATGGCTTGGATTTTATGTGCAAACTCTTCGATGAGTTGTTCGCGAACTTCAATCAAGTCGAGTGGTTCTGCTTCGCCTTTGAGTAATTTGCGCCAATCGGTTTTGTCTGCCACTTGTGTGCCAAACATAATTTCGAGCTGGCCTGAAAGACGGCGAGAACCGACTTTCATAATTGGAAGGGCTTGGGTTGCACCTTGATCGAGCCAACGGGTTGGCATTTGGCTAATCCGTGTAATCCCAACTTTTAGGGCACTTGAGTTGGCTAAATAAACAATATGTGGCTGGAAACAAACTTCATGCGCGAAGCTGTCTTCTCGGCAAGTGCCTAAGTGGTAGTGACAGGTTTCAGGTTTCATAATACACATGTCACAAGAGGCTTTGGTTTTAAAGCACTTAAAGCAATGGCCTTGCGAAAATGATTTAGAAGTCTTCGTACCACATGAAACACAGAAGATTTTACCAGTCCATTCAATCTCGATTTCTTGACCCAAGTTAAAAGGAAGGTCAACTTCTGAACGATCTAGGATAAATTTATATTCAACATTTGCCTTGTGTGTATGTTGATCAGTTACACTAAGGTCCTTAAGACCTGCATGC